AATAAAGAAATTGATGTGACAGGGCAGGGCAAGGAAAACATAACGTGGAAATATTATAACGAGTGCAAATAAAACACACAAGGGGGCTGACAAAAAAAAAAAAACAGAAAGGGGAGGGCGTACCATGGGCGTTCTGCCCCCCAGAGAAGGCGTGGCATGGTTTGAGGATGTCTGCAATCGTTTGGTGGCACGCATGCATGCCTAAAGGAAATGCCATCAAATATGCCAAACATGTTTGCAGTCAACCAGAGGAGAGGGGGCAGTAACGAAGGAGGGAGGACTAGTGGGTGGTTAGTGGTGGGTGGCAGGTTGGCCGTGTGGAAGGCTATAGCGCCCTTTAATGTTTATTGTGCAAATAAATTCGTCCTTGAATGGCCCAAAAAAAGCAACAGAAATACAGTGCTTTTAGGGTAATTAACAATAAAAAAATATGTGAAAAAAAAATATTTAAAGAATAATATTGATACAATTAAAGTTTGTAGATATTAAATTTGTATATACATTTTCCTTAAATTTTTATTAAGCCACTATTATGAAATAATATTTAAAGTCTATAATACTGCGAAATATAGCTCTATTAAAGATTTATTTATTAGATACAATTTTTAGATACTTAAATATATTTCTATTATATTTTCTTTTAAATTGTCTACTATTTTAATTATGAAATTCTTTAAATATTATCTTAAATGTTTTAATATTTTGAAATCCCCTTCTTTTTAATTGATTTTTATGTTCCACCTTTCTCTTCGAAAACAATGTCCTAAACCGTATAAAACCGAAAAGTAAAAATACACATCCCACATCCTTGTTATCCTTTGACCACTTAGTCTATATATATATATAACCCGTTAACCGACTTACAGCCCCGAATCAGCCTTGGGTAGCGTTCGATACCTTTGATCTTGCTGCTTTCTGAGGCTCTGAGTGGGTTTATGTAAATTTAGGCTGCTCTCGATTTGCGGATAATGCCTATTTTTAGCCACGCCCACTTGAGCACGCCTCTGGCAGAAGGTGAAGCGTTCAGTGGCCATAGGAGGAAAAAATTAAGAGAAGGGTATCCTGGCAGGAGGGGGAACATATTTGCCAGAAGTGGAAACGAGATGGCCAAACACTATTTTTGCTGCTATAATTCAAAAACTAACTTTCGGACGGGTAGGTTTCGGTGGGAGGATTACATAAATCAACATTTTCTGGCTCTGGCCGAAAAAGCGCCAAAAACTTTCAAGCAAACAAATATTAATTTTAACTTTTGTGCGGCCGAGAGCAATAAAAAAATCAACAAAACAAAAAAAAACAAGAAGGAAGCAACCAAAACTAAAGGAATAATAACAAAAATTATAAAATTTTCCACCGAAAAATTGCATTCAGGTTTTGAAACTTAAAGTTAATATATTTCTTACAAGAGAAATTAAGAAATTGCAAACTATATGATATCCGATACTCTTCCTTTTCCAATTCTATTTTCAAAAACATTTATCTCCAATAATCATCCATTTTATTAAAAAGGTTTATAAACTTGATCCTTTTTTCATTTTAATAGAATACCTTATTTATTCAACTTTTAAGAGTATATCTTTAAGAAATCAACCGATTTAGCTGAATTGTGTTGTGAAGATGTATAATAGTTATAAGAAAAGATTAGTCTTCTTAGTCAACAATAAATAAAGATAATCCTTAAATAAATATATATATTTTGCAACCTGTTGCCTTTATTTCTGCCAATCCATGCCTTTAAAAAGGATATGTAGTAAAATGTTCGTATTTCTCCACAATTGTGCGTGCATTTGTTAATTTGCCCGTTTGCCCATTTTAATGTTCAGTTTTTAATTGTTTTTCAACAATATTTTCTGGCCTGGTGCAATGAATTAATTGCGCGCCATTCCGCAAGGAGAGCCACTGCCCGCTGGCCATCACACCCACATCCTCTATACAACCCCTCATACATACTACATATATATATATATATATATATATTTTTTTTTTTATATATTTTTTGTTCTGTTCCCGGGAGCCTCGCGATAATTCTTAACCGCTTGTTTATTTATGCGGCGCCGGAAAGGCAAAAAAACCAGAAAGACACTTGGGGAAAATGCGGGGGGAAAAGGGGAAAATCGTGGGCTCAAAGAGGTAGAAAGATAATGTGCTCATATGTGTAAGTGTGTGTGTGTGAGGGCTTCTGTGTGTGTCCTGGTGTTGGCGCCTTTATTTATGCAGCATGCATTTAAAATAAAATAAATATAAATTAAGCATAAAACCAGTCCCCCAGGGAAAGCCAACTGTGAATGCTCTTTCGAAAAAAATGGACAACCGAGACCATCAATTAAATGAAATACGAAAAAAAACAATAACCTAGATAAATTTTTTTTTTAATTTCACAAAAAAAACTATCAATAGCCAATGAGCTGAAAATAACAAATTAAAAATTAGCAATTTAAACCATTAAGCAATTACCGATTAATTAGTGAATTAAAACGAATGAAAATAATCAAAAGACAACAAAATGGCATATTACACAAAACAAAAAAAGAAAATAGATTAAAAATCAATACATATTTATTTTTTTTAAACTTTATCGATTAATTACGATTTAAAAGAGCATTTAATATTTCTCTTCTTTCAAGAGTTTTTATTGAAGAGCCCCCTTGAAACTTTTCATTATTATTTGTATTTGCCGTTGGAGGAAAGCTTTTCTTTTTCTTTGTATTATTTTTGTATATATTTTTTATAGTTTTTTGTTGTTGTTGTTGGTGGTGGTGGTATAGTTTGTGGCGCCATTTTGTTGCCTTGCATTAATTGCAATGCAAAAAGGCAACGTCGCATAAATTTCTCATATTTAATTTTGCCAGAGTTGCAGATGCAACCGGAGATGGGCTCCAAAAGAGGGGGGCTTAGGACGGATGCTGAGGTAGGGGGCGGGGTAGGGGGAGGAGGCCAGTTTAATGCACTCTGTTGCATGCCACCTACCCACTGACAGACACAAAAAAAAAAAGTAGCCACCCATGTGCGCGGCTTCGTTTACATTAAATTATTTATGCACTCGACTGTGTGCGGCACTTGCAGCTGACAAAAAAAAAGGACACACAAAGACATCCTTCCCACACACACATACAGACCCAAAAAAAAAACTGATCACAGCTGCCGCTGTCAAGGGGGTGGTGGCCAAACCTTTAAGCCAACATCCTTAAAACCACTTTAATCTTCCGCCAAATGCTGACCACATAAAGTCCTTAAACAAATGTGCGGACATTGGCCATTAAGCAGACAGGAGACCGAAAAGGACCTGCCAAGACTTCCTCCCTATTATCCGAGTCAAGTCAACTGTTGCAACAGCCCCAATAAAATGTCAAAGAAAATGTCTAGAAAGAAAGCCTTTTAATTGTAATGAGAACGGGGAGGTTAGTGGGGGTTAGAGGGGAAGAAATGCTAAAAACTTAAAAGTGGCATTTTGCTCTCTCTTATTTCTCACTTCTGGCCACTTTTTCCATGAACTCATAACAAAGGGTTTCATGAGCGTTTAATTGTCGGTAATTAGCCAGATGAACAATGGCCAACTTTTAGCTTTAGCTTTAGCCAAGGAGTAAGTTTTGAAAGGAGCCCCACCGTCTCCAGGGTTACAAAATAATAGAAAATAATATACTCTAGGCAGAAATATACTTAATACATATAGGAAAATACTAACAAATGAAGGGATAGCAACTAAAGTCGAATCTATAAAATTTTATTTGTATAGAAAGCTAAACAAAAAATAATAATTCAAAGATTTTTATGAAAAAACTTCTTTAAAAGCTCGAAAAATGTATTATCAGAGTTGCCTTTAGTGAAATTATATCTATAATAATCGAAAAATAAATAATAATACAAAATTTTAATTTAAACTGACTTTCATCTTATAATGAATCTTTCGAAAGCTTTGAATAAATTCTTAGCTAAATGCTTTTGAAGGAAATGCATCGATAATAAATCATATACATAACTAATCGAAACAAAATTTCAATCAAAGGTTTAACTTCATATAAATAGCTTTATTACTTACTATGAAAGACTTTTTTATAAACTTGTAAAAAAGTCGAAGAAGTTAAGAGTTAAAATTGAAGAGATTTACTGTATAATTTTATTAATCCAATCAGCAAACTCTTATAAAGGTTTTTCAGTGACAGTTCACCTCACTTCATTTTATCAATAAAAACCTCAAAATTCAATTCTTTGTAGAAACCATAACCAACAATCCAAAATTTTACTGCAAACTCTTTAAAATTGTCAATTTAATATTCGTTTTGAGAAATGTGCGAAATATTTGTATTAAATTCTTAATGAAAGGAACTTGCACATTGCAAGTCCGCTCGACTAATTTCGATTACATATTCACGACAAAATTGTATCTACGAATTTCGATTGAATTTCTCTTGGAATTTCGCTGGAATAATTTCATTTAATTGAGACACACACACACACACCCACACACACACATTGAAATTTGTGTGCATAATGAGCGGAGGCGAAAATTACAAAGGTTCCCAGCTGGGCACAACCCTACACCCCCCACCATACTCTCTCGTTTGCCTTTGTGTGTGTCCGCGGCAAAGGCAATTAAAATTAATTTAAATTTACTCGCCTGTGCAAATGAGTCACTCGGAAAAAGAGCAGATAAAATGAAAACAAAGACCGATGACTAAAGCGTTAAGGAAAAAATATATATAATTGCCAGTAATTTGGTTTGAATCCTTTAAATTCTACAAAGATCAAGCAATTTTGAAGGGTTCCTAAAGAAATTGCCTACTTTTGGACGTTGCGATAAGAGATTTTAAATCTCTATAATTTTTCAAGTTCAAAAGAAGAAAGCGGGAGTTGGAGAGCATAAACTTAAAAGAATTTTGTTAAAATCTTTAGGTTTATGATAAGTATTGCCTATTTTAAATAAAATAAAATAATACTTACTTACACTCTTTTTTTTTTAATTCCAATCTAACTAATAATTTTATTTTAAATCTATTTTTTAGATCTAATCACAGCGGAAGAGAAGCCCATGCTGGAAATCTATCCCACACAGGAAGTGCAACGTAAGCCCGTTGGCAAGCCCCTGATCCTGACCTGTCGTCCTCGAGTACCGGAAGCTGCCTTGGTGGCCGATTTGCAATGGAAGGATAATCTTAACAACACCATCTTACCAAAACCGTAAGTCTCAAAAACTATTAAGCCTCTCGATAATTAAACTCTGGTTATGGGTGTCCTATAATATATGTTTATAATGGAATTTTGTCAAAACAAAAACCACACGAAACTATACACCTGGAACATGGAACACAAAACACAAACACAACAATACACAATCCACCCACTCGAATAAATAAATACACAAAAAAACAACACACTTACCTACTTTTTATATCGAATATCGTATTGTAGGGCCAATTACGATCCACTGTATGATTCCAAGGGCAATAGAAAGAAACTGTAAGTGCCGAAGATCAGCTTTACAGCAAGAATATAATACCTATCTACAGTAAAAACCCCGTAAAAACAAACAGTAACAGCAAGTGCAAGAGTAAACTGTAACCCAGTAATTTAACCGCAACAAAAAAACCAAAGAAACATCATCATTATTTTGACTCTATAACGATACATTTGCGACTTTAGACGATGACTTGAGATTGAAAACAACTCTGACGATAACTGCAGCTTATAACTCTGATTAGATTCCTAAATACATTTCAAAGACCTGTCTTAAATGAAATTCTATAAATTATATGATGGTCTTTAACACGTTTTTTTTTTTAGTTGTGTAGCTATCCTGTTACCTTGCCCATTTATTGTCGTTTATTTGGCATGATTAATTGTTTGGTTTGTTTCTTGTTTGTTGTTTAACTCATCGCGCTGTATTGAAAAGCAAATGCATTTTGTCCAGGCCTCCCCTTCCCCTTCTCGATTATGAGTAGCATTTTGGCATTTTCCATTTTCACACACAAACACACACACAACCACACACCAGCACTCATACTCACACACGAGCTCATGCAATTATCCTTCTTAGTTGTTGTACTAACACACCATTCATACCGAGGGCTAAGCATTTTCTCAGACTTTATCAAGCTTTTTCATAATTTTTTTTAATAAAAAATATATATTATTTTTTTCTGCTATAAAATAAAATTTTTTTCTGAGAGGTTTTTGGCCTTTTACGTACTTGACAGCAGATAGGAAAATGAAATGAAAGAAAATACTGGCTGGGAATGTGAAAAGGAAAATTCGAATGGGAATTTTTAAGTCAGATATTCAGATCGAAATCTCGACTCTAGGTTTTTTTGTTGTTGTTGTTGTGTGTGTGTGAGTGCAGTAGAGTGCCTGCGTGTGAAAAGCGAAATCGTGTTAATTAATTTGCCTGGAAGAGGAATATGACCCGCCCCCCCCCTCTCTTGAGTGAAAAGAATAAAGAAAGAGGCGTGGCCAAGCTGCAGGCTTCACACCTGACCCGGCATTTAACCCATGACCCTCTGACCACCCCCCCCTCCCAAAAAAGGGCTGAAGTGGGCGGGATACCATTGCGTACCAATTAAACTCGTTTCCTCTTCAAACTTATGAGAGTGGAAGATTGTGTTTTTGGCTTCCCTTTTTATTCCCTTCCCATAAAAATTCACATTTTTTTTTTAGGGACTTCCCCCACATATATTTGTCGTATTTCAGGGTATTTTTGGAGTATATCCCATCTTAATTTTTTTGTTTAATTATAAAATTAAATAAAAAGAATGGATTTTAATTTTCAACTTCCATAAACTTAGTTTTCCATGGCAAGAACCCTAGCACTTAGGGTTGCATTTTGCGTATTTAGGGTACTTTTTTGCTATATGTATATTTATGTTATTTTATAATATTTCCTTACTAAGATATTTATTTTCCTTGACTCCATTCTACCACAAACAAAATTCTGCTTTAATTATGACTTTGGCAACCCTGGCTTGGCTGCCTTTCAATTCTGCTCACGCACAAGCAAATGCAATTTCTCATTTGAAAGGTCGGACTGGCAACCCTGCCCCGCCCCGCACATCCTTCGTCCTTAATATGTCCATTTCCCTCACTTTTCCAGTCGAATTTTCCTCCTGGCTCCTGGCTTTTCTGCCTACTGCTGATTGTTTTGTGTTTGACTCACTTTGGTTTTTAGGTTTTTGGTTTCTGGTTCGCTTCGCTTCCGTTTTGGTTTGGCTTCTGTTGTGGGCTCTTCTTCTTTGTTGTTCCGGGGGCGGGCGAAGGGGGCGTAGTCGGTCCAGTGCCACGCCCATTTGCGACGCCCACTCCCACGCATCGCATTTTTGCAGCCCTGCATTGCATATTTGCAGGCGCGAAATGTAATTAAGCTGCCAAAAACCCAACCGACTACCAGGCCCATTATACGTTCTATTTTAGACCCCGAAAATTGTGGGGGCAGGAGCAGCTTTCATAGTGCCCCGTTTAAACTCGACCCGAAGTTAATTAAAACGATTAAGTTCGGCATAGTTCTGCGGGCGGTCATTGCTTGAATTTTTGAGGCTCGAAACCTCTAGATGGGCTTTCCATTTTTATAGGGAGGGTCAACAGTCGGAAGATATAGTATTCTTGGTTATATTAAAAATTTCTACATTGGGACCTCCCAAATAATTTGTCCCAAATATATTTCATTTTTGATGCAAATTTAAAGAAAATCGATCGAAAAATAGTTTAAGATACTAATTTTAGAGTGGAATATTAATTGCCGATGAAAGATGACTGATTTAAGGCAAAAGAATAGCTAAAATTTAGACATCCCATACGAAAAATGTTCAATTTTAAGAAAGTGATCAACAACCATTTAAGAAAAACCCGTGAAAACTCGACAATAAAAAGTGACTTCAGAGCTGGTCGGAAAAACAAGTAAAACCGTCTAAGCTGTCTGCTTAACCCCTTGTGGCCCCGCGACATTCAATAACAGCGAAAATGGCAGCAACAACAACAACAATAACAAAAGAAAAAGAAATGCAATAAAAAAAAGTCGAAATAGCGATGGTAGCGACCCCAAGGCGCCACACCCTCAACCGATGAGATGGGCGTTTCGTTCCCATGAGACAATCAAATGCAAAAATAAATAAAAAAAAATAGAAGAGAAAGAAAAATTTGATTTTTACGTATGTATGCGTAAAGGTTCTATTTTTTTTATTATTTTTTCCACTATTTTTTTTTTGCAATGTGTGTTTGTGTTTGATGCTATATTAAAAATCCAACGCAAATATGCAGCGAAATTTTTTGCACAATGTCTTCGCTGCCATCTCACTTCAGAACCCCCTCGAAGCCCCCTTGGCACTACGGGGATTTTCAATCCCGCTGCGGTTTTTCCCAACCAAGAACTGTAGAATTTCCACTTTTTTTATTTTTTATTCTGCGTCGACAACTTTTGTTAGCATAATTTTGGGCGCAGCAATGACGCTTTTTCCTCCATTTTCTATATATGCGTTTGCATATGTGTGTGTGAATGTTTGTGTGTGGCAAGGCAAACAAGGACCTCTCTTTTTTCCGTTTTCTCCTTCGTTTTTTTTTATGTGTGTGTGTGAGTCTTTTTGCATTTTTGCCAAACAATTGCGAATCGCAAATCGAACGCAGGTTGTGCCTGCAAATGCAAACAAACCTAGGGACACAGTCACATACACACAAAACCAATTACAGTCGTAAAAACAAAAGATAAAAAATAAAAGAAAAAAAAGAAAGTGTTTCACATTCAAAACGGAACGAACTGCATCTAGAAAAATAATATAGAATGAGAAAAAAATGCTTCAGAAGGACTCATCTCATCATCTTCATGTCTCTTGTTTTAAGAAATAGCTATAGAATTTTTTTCCCAGTGCTCCATTGACTTTATAGCTTTTGAAAAATATTTCAATCAAGAACCCCCTCATCCTCTCAACAAAAACAAGCTCATCTTCATCTTTATTCAGTTATTGGCTTTGTTCTAATATTGTTTTATTTTTTTTTCTATCGCTTGTATTTGTCTTTGTTGTTTTTAAATTTTTTTTTATTTTAGTTCCTGCTCAGCAAAGTCGTAATAATAACCCAAAAACAACCGCGCATATTCAATTTCTGCGCCAGGAGAAACTTTTTTAATTAATTAGTACGTCCAACAAAACAGTTTTGGATGGAAAAGTGTGAACAAGAGGATTTCGGTGGTATGGGTAACGAAAGTAATCGCATAATCGTGCCAGTAGCCAAAATAATTTGTTCGGCTTATGCGATTTTCACACACAAAGGCAAGGGCGTGAATAATAAGTTTTTTATTGCCAGGAAAATGGATTTTTTTCTACTATTTTTTTATTGATTAAACTTGGTTTAGGGTATAACTTATTTTGGGGATAGGTTTTTTCATCACAAAAGCTTTGGCGTTTTTCTAAATCTTTCGAAAACTCAAACCGAAAGGTTACAATAAAAGCTTTTTTATTGCCAGGAAAAACCAATTTTCTAGGGAATATTTTTGTGGGTAAAGTGGTTAAGGTATTACCAACTTTGAGAATATTTTTTTTAAGTTTAATATCATTATAAATCTTTATAACAAGTTTATCAAATATAATTTTAAAAAAAATAGTTTTTCAAGATCCTTGTGTAACCCATATAACCCCATAAAAAAGAAGGGGTATACCAAAATAAAAAACGCCACCAGCGTGACCTCATGCACTCTCTTCGCAGATTTACTGCGAAAGCCAAAGGAATTTTTCATTGAAGTTGCTGGCAAATTTGCTGGAAATGCGAAATATATTTGTAAACGAGCTCTCTGAACTTTTATGGCGGATGGGGCAGAAAAATGCGTAACACATTTTTGCAGGGCATGCAAATGAGGGGATAAAGAAAAGTTGATAAAAAAAATAATATATATATTTATAGGGAAAGGAAAAGCAAGCAAATGTACTAACAACAACAAGCAATTCTTATAATCATAAGCATACAAACATAAACATAATAATAATAAAAAATAATAATAATATTTATGGCAACAACAAAAAATATATACATACATACTGACACGTACAATTGAAATGCATATTATATACCGTTACTAATACACGCACATACAACCGTTATTACCGTTTCTCGCTTCTGCTGCTGCTGCCACTCCCGCCATTTTGTTTTGTTGGCATCGCCATTACCGGAAATCCAGAACGGGACGCAACCAGCCGCCAATGTACACGGAAACGTTGCCCGGCGAAAGTTTGGCCCTGATGATTACCTCGCTCTCCGTGGAAATGGGCGGAAAATACTACTGCACCGCGTCCTATGCAAATACCGAGATCCTCGAGAAGGCCGTCACAATTAAAACTTACGGTAAGTTGTGCAATTCATTCCAGGACTACCCTCAGTTAGTCCTTTACAGTGTACTGTATTCTGTATACACTGTATTTTTGTAAATTACATTCCTCATTCGAAATGCTAATGAAGATGGGTCTGCTGACAATGATTATTATTGTCATTGTTACGATTATTATCATTACAAGTGTTATGCTTTTGTTTCCCTTGTGCCCTTGTGTTTTTTTGGGCAATAATAAAGTAGAGTAATTGAAATTTTAAATTAAAAACAGATACTTAAATCTGAAAATTAACTGAGTCGTAAAGTCCTTAACAAATTAATATTTTTTTATTGCATTTTGTGTAGTGGGTTTTAGGTTTTAAAAAGAAGAAGTTGAGTTTTGTCGACAAGGTGTTACCAGGTACTGTTAATAAAGGAGTTTTTAAGGGTTTAATATAACCAGCTAGACTAACTATCATATTTTTTAACAAAAAGTAATATTTAAAGAAAATATTAGCAGATATGCTCAAACTTTTGGGACGGAAAAGAAACAGTTCAGTTTTTAGCAGAAACGGTTACTCTAACTTTAACTGAAAAAGATTTGGTCACATTATACAGGATGCTTTAAGAGAAACAGCCATACTATTATTTTTAAAACACAATATCCACCTTAATGAATATTTTAACAGAAAAGGTTACTAAGACTTAAACTGAAACACATTGCTTCAGTGGTCACCTTAAGTGATATTTTAACAGAATCGGTCACACTGATTGTGACTGTTCTACATTTGGTCACCTTATTATCCAATTTACAATGAAATCAACTGAAAAAAGCGATTTTCTGTGACAAGCAACTAATAGTTTCTGTTGCGAACCACTTTATGCACATTTGACAAATACCTATTTAAGGATACCACATATAAGATGGTTTTCCCTGTCGCTGAACAGGATACAGTTGTGTTGGAGCGCGGTCAAATTTGTCATTAGATGGCTGGCATGCTTGACTTGTTGTCGCCATCGATTAGGGCAACCGGGTACTCCCTACTGCCCTCCTGCCCTTCTGCCCTCCAGGACCATATCCCCTTCGATCCTTTTCGTCCTTTCTGTGAGTAATCGCAATTTGAAAGCGGAAAGCTCAACGTGATTCCAATGCTGCATGATTCATTTATCTTGTTAGCAATTTGTGTCCCCAGCACATTGCACACAGCCATAGCTAAGCTATTGCTTTTGCCTTTTTTCGGTTTTTAGCTTTTTGTGGAAAGAAGCCCTGCAGGGCAGTAAGAAATTACAGTTGCCGGGATTTCATTACATGTGCAGCATTGTAAGCGAATCTAAAACAAAATGGATGCGTCCACTACAAAGCAATCGCTGTGGATATGACCCGGCCACCCAATCCTTTACAGGACAAGCAAAAAAATAACAGCAACAGAACACGTTCCTCAATAAGCAGCATACAAAGCTCATACACAACAGCAACAGCAGTATAGTAAAAAAAAAGGCGGAAAAAAACACCTGCACACATTTTCCTGGCTCGTTGACTCTCCGCCACTTTCGCCCCTTTCTCCCGGTCTGGCCTTTCTGTAGTTGAGTGCACATAAGTGCCGCTGCAGCTCAAAACTTTTACGAGATTGATTTTTCTAAGCAATTTAAAGTTCGTACTCATTGCACCCCCAACCTCCAACCGATACACACAGACCCCACCCTCCCACGAAAGCATAAACCACCGACCTTACTGTCCCTATCTACTTTCACCTTGTACTTGCACCAATCCACTTTGGGGAGTGTGAACGGAATAGCGATACACCCAGGCACTGGCAAAGGCAAAGAAATTGTGAGCCAACAATGCGAGTGCTCGTGATATGTGAGAAATCCTGGACTCCAACAGGACCTTTTCTATTATGCACAGGAAGAAAAACTAAACAGAGATCGAATTCGAACATGAGCTTCCTGAAAATCGTTTGATAGATGCGTTTGAAGAAGACAAGAATTTCTCTCACTGTAGAGCTGTACTGCCATCAAGTATTGGAGAAGAGGCCCAGCCTCAGCCAGGTGCGTTTGGAAATGAAATCAAATATTTTGCCGGGCAACAATTTGCACCCAATGGTGGTGATATGGGCACCCGGAACGGTACGGCAACATCCCGGAATAGAAATAGTAACTCGGTTCGATGTCAGGCCAACATGTTTGACTTGGAAAGACTACTACCTTGTGCCCGTTTACCTTTCCGGCAAATTTCTCGGGCTCCGCTTGGCGGGCAGGCTGGCAGGCTACCAGGCAAATATTCGAGATGCAGGGCCACCGAAAATTGACACAATCCGTATTGACAATTGCCAGGATACATACTCTGCCCACTCTGACCGACCCGAGCCGACCAACTCTCGCTCTGCGATATACTATATGACTTGCTCTCCATCAAGTTTAAGAGCTCTCCAGTGGTGCGGACCACAATTCGCATGTTAAGCTTGTCTAAGCCGATTCCAAGTTGACCAGCATTCAAATACAATAGTTAGTTATCAACACCAAGGCTCAAGGCTTCAGGCTGCAAGCTCAAGGCGCAAGGACACTCGAGGGCGAGGGGCGAAGGCTGAGGGAGTTGTAAGGACCTTGCCGAAGGAGAATCAAGTAACTGGCATTGTGTTGACAACTCACAAGTTGCATTTAGTTAGGCAAATAAGCAGGCACACTGCGCCAGCGACAAAAAGACAAACGGACTGGCGGACATACGGACACAACGACAGCTGAAGGCAAATTGCAACATTTACTTAGGATATACTCAGAAAAATTAGATTAATAACTAAGGCTTTTATGAACTACATGTTCATAAATTAATAAAGGTATAGCCAGAAGGTAGCCAGAAAACTAGAATGTAGTCTTGTCGCTGATAGTTACCATACAGTGTTGTAAAGTATGAAGTGATTTGATCCTCGACGTACAAAAAATGTAAAAAAAATATTATAGACTTTAGCCAATATTTTCCAATTCAAAACAATTAAGAATTGAATCATTGAAATAACAATTGATAACAATTGTGAAGAATATCCTGTGTTTTTATTATAGACGGCGAAATTAAACCCTAGTCACCGTTTAAGAGTTAATAAAAAGCTTTTTAGTCAACACTGTTTCACTCACAATCTGTCATTCTTTTAGTTGACAGCTTTATGAATTATCCTTAAAGTCGAGCCAATCAAAATATAAAGCCAAGAGCTTAGTTTCTCAGTGTAAGACAACAAAGAGATGCTGAGAGGATGGCTGGCGCCGTGCATATTTACATATCGTTGTTTGTTGCCAGTCACAGCTTAATATTTCAATATTTATGCTTTTAATAAATGCATATGCTCAAAACAAACTTCCGCCATAAGAGAAGAGAGCCAGGGACTCGAGGGAAGCATAGATACGAGCACCACAGGCGAAAGCAAAGCCAAAGCAGTGGCAATAGCTGTTTCCGTTTTGGAAACGCTTCACAGGATATATATATACGAATATATGTACATGTGTGTATATTTGAGTATGTGCGTTTGTGTTACCATTTATTATGAGCAGACAATGACTGCAACTCCTCGGCGTACATTCATTAAAGGCATTAAAGCGCATTAGACCAGAGAATGAAGACAGTGCATTAATTCAATATTTATTTGCCGCATTCAGATGCAGATACAACCGATAAGGATACATCTATACAACTATAATTATCTTGTATTCGCCATCTCCTCAGACTCCTATTTGGAGCATAATTGCCGACATCCTTGCCTGGTCATGTAATTGCCCCCTAATAATGTTGATTGGAGTCATTAGAGAGCTTGCACTTGATAAATAAACAGATACTCGTCCATCCTCAGCATATAGTACTCCTTCCATTCAATTTAATTCGAATTGACAGATTCATCTTGTTGAAGCACCCAATTAGCTAGCTCTAGTTCTTTACTTCCGGCTTGCTTACTTACATATACCACAAAACATTCTCAGTAATTTGTTTATTCTGGGATTCCTTGTTATTTCGATTCCATATCGACAATAATTTATAGCATACTTTTCAGCTCTAATGCAGATGAAATGCAAACTGATTAATTGTTATTTATTAATCACGATACATGTGTGTTGCTCTCCGAGGTTTTAAGGGCATTTATTTTGGATAATTTATGGTCTGAAAATAGCTCAGGTTTTAATTAAAACTTATCCTGTTTTTTAGAGGTGATTGCTATTCAAAGAAAAGTAATTTTCTCTTGAAACAATCTGTTGACTTTTTATTAACACAGTCTGGCTCGATTTCAACCTGGTGGTCAGGCGATAATTTTAACCCATTTCCGGTACAGGACCCCAAATCGAATTTGCAGTTTCCTTCCAGTTGTTGTTGCTTTATTTTTCTTCTCCCATCCGATGGATTTTTTACAATTTTTTGTTGGCTTTTTCTTTTTTTTTTTGTAATAAGTTGGTGCTGCAGCAACTTTTTCAATAAGTTGTGAGTCATGTTCTCTCCTTCGTCTTTGCCATATCCGGGATCCTGGTTGTAGGATGCAGGATCCTGGGATTCTGGATGCAGGGCTCTAGACTCTGGACCCTGGACTCGGGACTCTGGCTTGTCCTTGTTCAATCTAATAATGAAATCGTAAACTAGTTCATCTTTTTTTCCTCTTCTTGTGGGTGTCTGTGCTGTGTACTGTGAGTGTGTGTCTGTTTATTTTTTTGTATTTTTTTATTTTTTTTATTGTATTTGTTGTCCTGACTGAGTGTTTGCTGTTGCTGCCCATCAGACGTCAGAAACGAACGCAGCAAGCGAAAAGTGTTTGAACAACAAAATCTCACACGCTACGACAATGCAGCAAAACTGAAAAGAGCAAAAAAAAAAAAATATGGGGGGTAGAGTCCTGCCAAGGACTTAAGGGAGGAGGGGTATGGGATTCGGTAGCAAGTGACAGCAACAGCAGAGGCAAGTTTTTATTTATTTTATATGTTGTGCTCACCCACAGTAAGCAAGTCGCCTGCAGTCGAGACAGGACTACGAACAAAAAAAAATGAATACAAGAAAATCCAAAGGAAAAATATATGTATTGGAAAAAAGGATAACACACCAAGACACCCAGACACGGCCAATAAAAAACTGCAAATAGAAAATGTTTTTAACACAACTTTCCGTTATTTTGGTTTTGGCTTTGGCTTTTGCCAAAAAAATAGAAAAACCCCCGGACATTCCAAGCCAACACGTACTTTCGGAATATACTTGTATATACAAGAATATATATATATATATATAGTTCCATACTTTATGTGTCTGACAGCCGACAGACAGACTGAGATGGCTTGTTATTACACTGATTTATAAATAAACTGTAAATATTTGAGCCACATATGCTGAAACTGAAATTGAAAGGCTGCCAATAGTGAGTAACAGCTTCGTTTTTCTCGTTTTTGGTCAAAAAATGGGGAATTCGAAAGGATTTGCCGGCCAGATTGCCTTGTCCAATGCATTTTGCAGCAAAGATTACAAGTATTAAATAGAGAGCTTCCTAAATATTATATTTCGGACAACTAGGCAAAGCTTAAATGAAATTTTAAAGAAGATTAAGAGGTAAACTTTTTCATCTCAAAGAACTTTCCAACACTTGATGGCTTAAGGCTTTTAACACAACTGTAGCTTTCTATATTCTAGAAACTATTTAATTGAAAAAGAATTTTTTTTTAAATGTCTAAGAGCTTTAAAAAATAGAGAAAAATAAACATTCGTTTTGCCTGTCAAAGGACTTTCCAACACTTTACGCTTCAGGCACAACTGTACTCTTAATTTTCCCCAAAAGATCCATCCCAAAGTAACCCCTTTCCATTTGTTAGTTCCAGTTTGAGGCCTTTTTGATTATTTTCTGTATTAAGTCTTCCGCTTCACGCTTTGACTTTCCTGGGGGAGGGGGATAGCTTTGATTTGTAGTAGTCGCTCCCCCCTTTCGAGTACGCCCCTGTTTATCTGTTTGTTTTGTTGACTCTTTGGGGAGCTGTGAGGGTAAGTATTTGATTTTAGAATTTCACTTTTGCCCTCTATCCATTTTCAATTTCCAAGTCATCTCTGGAGTAAAGATTTATTGGTAGTCAGAGGCGTCACCCAAAAGGGTGAGGTGGGGGGAGGAGGCCAAGTGTCGTTTCTTGACCAGCTCGTTAGTGACCCCTGCAAAGGAGTAGGAGGGCGGTGAGAATGTCGCGCTCATGTCTTGGACTTTGTGCCTGTGATACTCGAATTGCTTTTATGTGCCCGACAGTTTGTTTAAAATTATATTACGTATACGCCACGTACAGCTCCGCTCGGATTGTCAACATGACCGAGGCGGAAAAATAGTGCCAAGCTTGGGTGCTTAGCTTGCATTTTTCTTCTCGGTTTTTCCGTTTTTTCTCCTCCTCCCCGCCCCACATTTTCCGTCCTCCGCTCTTATTTTTCCATGTCATAGTGGGTCTGTGTCCGTATTTTCTGCTGCAGTGCAAATGAAGGCGAAGCAAAATCAAACAATATGCACACCTAGCCATGGAATTTGTTTGCCTCGGAGTTTAGCTTAGAATCCTTCGAGTCCTTTTAGTCCTGCATGCGAACAACCAGCCAGAAGCTAAAAATAAAATATCAACAGCAACAGGCCTTGTTAACACAACAGGCATCCTAAACACGTCTTCAATACTTACTTTTATATTTTGTACAATTTTACAAATTGGTGTTATGAGGAGATAGTTATAGTGTATATATATAGATAAAGAAATTGAAAAGAAGAAGTAATTTTGGAAGACTTTAGTACACTGTAGTTCCTAAAGATGATCGCCATATCCATAAAGTATTCTAACCCTTCGCAAGACTCTTTTAACCTCCAAACAACATCCTCAAAAATTTCTAAATACGACCAATTATTTTATTACAATTTCCATTATTCTATATTTTTTTTTAGTGGCTATTACCTGGACAAATGCCCCTGAGAATCAGTATCCCACTTTAGGACAGGAATACGTGGTTATGTGTGAAGTTAAGGCTGATCCCAATCCCACCATCGACTGGCTACGAAATGGAGACCCGGTAGGATGACTCTTTAAAATTCTCTAAAAAATATTAAAATAATAAATCCCAAAATTGTATACCTAGATCCGCACTGGAGACAAGTACGTGGTGGAGACCCATGGCCTGCGCATCCGCGATGTCCAGGAGAGTGACGAAGGCATCTACACCTGCCGGGCGGCCGTTATCGAAACCGGAGAGCTACTGGAACGCACCATCCGAGTTGAGGTCTTCATCCAGCCCATGATTGTGTCCCTGCCCGCCGATCTGGAAGCTGTCGAGGGAAAGCCCTTCGCTGCCAACTGCACGGCCACTGGAAAACCTGTACCGGAGATCAGCTGGATTCGTGATGCCACCCAGCTGAACGTGGCCACCGCTGATCGCTTCCAGGTGAACCCCCAGACAGGTCTGGTTACCATCTCGTCGGTTAGCCAGGAGGACTACGGCACCTACACGTGTTTGGCGAAGAACAAGGCCGGAGTGGTCGATCAGAAGACGAAGCTGAATGTCTTGGTGCGTCCCCAGATCTATGAGCTGTACAATGTGACCGGATCTAGGAACAAGGAGATCGCCATCACCTGCCGCGCCAAGGGACGTCCCGCTCCGGCCATTACCTTCCGTCGCTGGGGCACCCAGGAGGAGTACTCGAACGGCATCCAGGTGGACGATGCCCGCATCGTTCTGGAACGCAACTTCGACGAGGAGCGTGGCGAGAGCACCGGTACCCTGCGCATCTCCAATGCCGAACGGAGCGACGATGGCCTGTACCAGTGCATTGCCCGGAACAAGGGAGCCGATGCCTACAAGACCGGACACATCACCGTGGAGTTCGCCCCCGACTTTAGCCAGATGAAGGACCTGCCGCCAGTGTTCTCGTGGGAGCAGCGCAAGGCAAACCTGAGCTGCTTGGCGATGGGCATTCCGAACGCCACCATCGAATGGCACTGGAACGGACAGAAGATCAAGGACCTGTTCGACACCAATCTAAAGATCGTCGGCACCGGACCCAGGAGCGATCTGATCGTGCATCCAACGACCCGCAGGTACTACACCTCCTACAAGTGCATCGCCACCAACATCCACGGCACCGCCGAGCACGACATGCAACTGAAGGAGGCCCGTGTGCCGGACTTTGTGGCCGCCGCTTCGCCCCGCCAGCTGACAGCCACCACCATGACCTTCGACATCCGCGGCCCGCCCACCGAACTGGGTCTGCCCATCCTTGCCTACAGCGTCCAGTACAAGGAGTCCCTCAATCCGGACTGGTCCACCGCCTACAACCGCAGTTGGTCCCCCGACTCGCCGTACATTGTTGAAGGACTCCGTCCTCAGACCGAATACAGTTTCCGGTTCGCCGCCCGCAACCAGGTGGGTCTGGGCAACTGGGGCGTCAACCAGCAACAGTCCACGCCGCGTCGCTCGGCACCCGAGGAACCCAAGCCGCTGCACAATCCCGTCCAGCACGACCGCGAGGAACCGGTGGTAGTGTCGCCCTACTCGGATCACTTTGAGCTGCGCTGGGGAGTCCCGGCCGACAACGGAGAGCCCATCGACAAGTATCAGATCAAGTACTGTCCGGTAAGTAAAGGATTTCCGTCCATTACCTGGCCAGAAATCACAGAAACTGATTCCCCACTTCACCTACAGGGCGTTAAGATCAGTGGCACTTGGACCGAACTGGAGAACAGCTGCAACACCGTCGAGGTGGTGGAGACCACATCCTTCGAGATGACACAGCTGAACGGGAATACCTACTACAGGATCGAGCTGAAGGCGCACAACGCCATCGGTTATTCGTCGCCGGCGTCCATCATCATGAAGACGACACGAGGTGAGTCCGATTCTGCTAATAACAATCTCGGCACGTTGCTCTATTCGGCCGGATTCAATTCCGGAGTCGGTGCGCTACACAAACGACTGTTCACAACAACAACCACATCGACAACAACCACAGCCACATCGATAACAACAGCAACAACAACAATCATAACGCTGGCCACCACAATAAGCATAACATTACTTAGTGTCCTAGCCTCAATGTTAGCCTAAAGTCATAAAAAAAAAACAAAGTTAAGAGAAAAAAAGATTAATGATAAGCCATTAAAAAAAAATACCTTAAAAGAAGAAAATAGTAGAGAATGTAATGGTTATATAACCGTTATACTCTCTACAGTTTTAAGGTTATAATCTGGTTTATCGAAATATCGTATCGAATCGTATCGAGTCTACAAGATCCCAGCTAAACATGAAAGAAATCAAACAAGAATATATATATATATTATTAAAAGAAATCTCTATATATACACTCACTCACACCCAGACATCGTTCATATATAGATAAAGACATAATTTTTACTGCTCTATATATACCTATATATTTAACTATATGAATATGATATATTATATATCCCAGATATAATCGATTAATTTTGCATACATTTTTGTAGTGTTTATTTCATATGCGTTTCAACTTTTTGTTTTATGTTCACACTCAAGTGTAATCGGCCCCTTAACGTCTCCACCCCAAAGAATTACCCTTTTATCGTTATCGTTTTAATCGAATCTAATCGAACGTATTTTTCATTTGCTCTTTATAACTTTATAAACTAATTTAAAAACAATTTTGTCTTTTGTTCTGAACCATTTTTGTGTTTTGCATGTTTTTTTTGTGCGTTTTTGTCCTGATTGTCTAGAGCATTGAATCCTTTGAAATAAGTTTGCCAAGTAAGTTGTGAATTTTTGATCGATAACTTATGTAACTACATTCCAACCAAGAACACATCACACTGGGCCGAAACTATAATCGCAAAGGGTTTGCAACGCATTTGATAGACATTGCAGTTCATAAATATTTAACGCGTGTTGTCGTCCCACCAAAAAAAAAGTAATAAAAACCGAAATTCATTCACATTGCGCATTTAAATGCCGAAATTCACCACGAGGAGCGCGCGCAAGCAGTTCGCAAGCAGTGCGCATGCGTGCGCGCGCTTTTTTGAAAGTCACAGACGTTGTATAGAATTGTGAGAGAAGTGCGTTCTGCGAATTCAATTTTTAGTAGCTTATCTTTAATTACGTTCTTTTTTTTTTAAATATATCATTCTTAAGCATTTACTTAATTATAATTACCAACACTAAACATGACAAGAGAAAAACACAAAACACGAAACAGAAAATCAAAATGAAATGAAACTTATAATTTTATATTTTTGTGTGTGCATTCATCACAGTTTTCGATTCGAAAATGCATCAATTGTAATATTATTAATAACAAGAGCCCTGTTAAATGTAAATCCTAGTAAGTAAACATAAAAATGAAGATTAAATTTTGAAACAAAAAAAACATAAAAACACTCTCTTAGTTACTTTTCTTTCATATTGGATTACTATTACTAGAGTTCTTCATTTTTATTTTTATCACATCTATTTTTATTTGATTTAATTTGATTTTGTGTGTATACTACTTCTTTAGTTAAATTTTTTTCAATTATAAGTATAAAAAAAAAAGAAAAAAAAGAAACGTTTCTCAAATAAAAAATTCAAAGAAAACCAAATCAAACTGTAATTTACTATTACCATGCCTGCGTTGTCTCTCTCTCTCTTTGTCTACCTTTCTCTCTCTCTCTATGACTCTGTCTCTTATTCGCTCAACCACTCTGTTGCTGTCTTCTTCTGTTGCCTACAAAAAAAAATCATGTTTTTAGAATTTAAAATATTTTTAAGTAAATGTTGTGAGTAGTCTGTTTGTTTGTTAGAATGCCTTTTTGTGTGTTTGTTCTCCCCCTCTATCTCTATCTATGTATCTCTTACTCTGTGTATCCTGTGACTACTGTTATCCTTGAATCTCTCCTCATCCCAGCCGCTTTTGCTTCAACTTAAACTTACTTTTAAGCTTAAACCTGATCTTTTTTGACTAATCCCGTAACCCGTAACCCCGTGGACTTAGTGTGTGCATCAAATTAGGCATCTAGTCATAGCTATTACTAATACAAACTCAGAATCGTACACACATGTCGACAAGCAACAAGTCCTTTTTGGCCCCCTTGGTTAGCAAAAACAACACACAAAACAAACTCCTAATCCAAAAAAAAAAACAAACAAACTAACAATTCACAAAAAGAATACCTAAACACACACACATGCACATTGTGTTTAATTCGTGGTCGTCAAAAACAAAAAACTAAACTAAAACTTAATGTGCAATGAAAACCAGCAAAGAAATGTTCTTTTGTGTGTTTCCTTTTCTTCCTTTTTCTTCTACCACATTTTCTTCTTTGTTTTTTTCTCTCTTTTATGCTGTGTGTGTGCTAAAAACCACAACAACAACTCCTTCTACTACTACTACTACTACTAAAATCAATTAAAACTGTAAAATCCGCAAAATCCGCAAAAACCGAACCGAACTGAACCGAAAATCGAACCAAAAACCAATCCAGACAACCCCCATCCCATGAAATCCAATGGAGTGACATTCGCTGCTCCAGCCCTGGTCGAACTGCTTGCCGTGTGCTGTGCTTTGGCGATTCTCCTGCTTCCGACGACGTCCACTGCTTAAATAGGACATTGACCCCCGGCTCGAAGGACCAATGGCAAGCAATGCACCGAGGAGGATCCTTTCGCTGGCTTTCCATGGGTTTTCCTTTCTCCAATACTTCCGTTTGTCTCAACGTGTAAATAATAAGAATTATAAGAAGAAAAAACCAACAAAAAAAATAAAACTTAAACTTAAATAGCATGATAAAGCGGAATAATTATGTTGAATGTGCTCAAGTAGAGAATATGATCAATATATATATATACACATATATGTATCACCTAGGGGGGGTCACAATTCCATTAACTGTACAAAACAAAAAACCAAAAAGAAAAAAAAAAGTTAAAAAAAAAACAATAGAAAATTTACGATAATCTCTAGTTAATGAAATGAAAAAATGCCAAAAACCAAAACCTACTTGCTTACACAATGATAATAATTGTACTTATCCTATGTGTCCTTGTTTAAAAACTAAGCCATTATTAAGTTGTTATTTAGTTGTATGTTTGTATAGTGAAAGCATTTATTAAACACCTGCAACACACATACGACTCCGGATACCCTTTCCGCTTAGTTCAATGTGAATTTTACAACACTGCCAAGCGAATAACTAAAGTAAACCAAATTTATAACAAAAATTTTAGCGAAATTCTACACGAAAACCAAAAAAAAAAGAAATTAAAGGAATATCAAATACGAGTACAAGTTACCAGAAAAGAAAAAAACAATTACATTTACACTTTAAACCCAAAAACACATCCTATAATTATTAGCCAAAGCTTTTTCCAAGAAGGATTTATGATTTTGAGCGCGTAAATGTTACGAGGGGACAATAAGTAACTCTAACTAAGTTAAAGCAGTGCGATTATGTGCGTCTAATTACGAATTTTTCTCACATGGTGCGAACACAGAATGCATTAAGTGTTTTTTACCTTCCGTTTGGATAGCATTTAGTGAGCATACCTTAGAATTGATATCGAGATATTCCTGTATACACTATATTTTTTTTTAGCGACTTTTCTAGCCAAATATATCTTGTAAACCCAGAAGATACAGTTTATACCTTTACAATATCTAGTTATACATATGTCGTATACATAATAGTTAGTGAATAATTCAGCCCGCCTAACGTTGCTGATGGGAAAACAAAAATTAAATCGAGGAAAGATGATTTTTTTTTGTCAAGTCTATTGCGGGGCGCACTCTTTGCAGTAAAAAGTCGAACGAAAAAAAAACAGCAGTAAAAGTTGCGAGTAACTCAAATCACAGATCATATTTAATGATAAAACAAAATGCATACGGTATTATGAATGTTGTAAGCAAAAAAAAAAATGAAAAACTAAAACGAAAACGAAGCCTACCACTTAAGCAGTTCATTTTGGGTAATAAAGAAACAACTTTAACATAAAGCAGTGCGTGTGTGACTTGGGATAGGGTTGCCACCAGCTATGCCGATGCCGTCAGGTAACAAGGATGTGTGTAACCTAAACCGAATACCTAATGTCTATTAATGTTACTTTATTGCACCGCAAAACACTAACAGCCACCCCAGAAAATTGTACACCCAGCCGTTATAAGAAAACCCAGTTTGTAAAAAAGCCTTTTGTCGAATGTTTAATTGTTTAAATTATGTTTATAGTTTTAACCGAACCAATGCAGCACTCTAGGCCACTCCCCCTTTATATAAACCCCGCACACACACACATACATAATGTACATAAGCAGACAGAAACCATTATACGCAAATACTTCGATTCTAATCCTTAAGTTTGAACTGCTTAACACTGCTTGTATACTTTGCATATTGGCCAAAAAAAAACAACGAAACTGTACTTTGCAATTGTAAAAACCGAACACCTTGAAAATCTCTTTTGTTTATGCTTACTTCTCTCACTCACTACTATTTTCACAAAATAAATAATTAAAAAAAAACACAATCTCTATCTCTCTGTGCTGAGCGAAAACCCCGTCCTCTTCAGAAGCCCGCCCACTATTTCCCTCCTGGCTGCATGCTTTATTTGTATTCTCCCGCCCTCACTTTTTTCGATATGGACAACCCTGGAAATAAATCTTGTATTTTGCCTTGTTTGAAACTGCTTTTCATGTTATGTCAATTGGAATTTGAAAATTAATTTCGTAAGCCCCGATTTTTGGTTATTTTGTATCATTGCTATTGTGTTACTATTGTATTACTATTATTGGCTTTATTTATTGTTATGTTTAACCTTTAGTTTCGACTAATTCCGTTTGGTTTCCACCACAAAATATTTCAAAATAATACACACACAAAAATGTAAAAAATATGTTTAAACAATTAACCAGAAGTTAAGAGAAAATAAAACAATCAGAGAAAGTCGAAGAGTGTAACCGTAAGATTAGATTTTAAATGGAGGCGTTGAGCTAAGATCGGTGCTGGAAAGTACCACCTACCAAATACCACCTAGAGTTACGAATACGAATGACATTTTACTAATCGAATACACTTGTTCCCCCTCTCCATTTCCATTTCCATCGCCAAACACCCAAACCCACCACCACACCACCCACACCATCGCATCCTTCGCACATCCTTCTGCATCCCGCGCTGCTCACCTCTAATCCGACCGCCAAAAAAAAAAAACAGGAATCGACGTCATCCAGGTGGCTGAACGACCAGTCCTCTCCTCGGCAGCCATTGTGGGCATTGCCCTCGGCGGTGTCCTGCTCCTGCTCTTCGTGGTGGACCTTCTCTGCTGCGTCACCGTTCACATGGGTGTCATGGCCACCATGTGTCGCCGGGCCAAGCGATCGCCCTCCGATATCGACGACGAGGCCAAATTGGGCAGGTAAGCTCAGATCTCTTTTTAGTATTTTAAAATTCTGACATGGAAAAATATAATCACAAGAAAATGTTATCAACCAGAGGGTTTAAAAATTCTATTATCAAAAGATCGATTTTTTCGATAGACACGTAGTTGGACTGTTTCAATTTTTCGATAAGTACAATTTCTGCATCAAACCAAACACGTATTCCTAAAAAAAATTGTTTAAAAGAATCCACACCTAAGAACTTAAGTCAATCTTTCTAAAAATCATCTTAGAAGTCCTCCAAACATCGATATTTCCGATAAATAAAAATTGTTAATCGGATTGATAAAATTCTTGGATTATAATTTTCTGTGTCCATATGATTTAATTGGAAAATGTGAAGCGCAACGAGACGAAATGAAACGAATATTGCACTAAAAATCCGAATCGGAATTAAAGTCGAAATTTAACATTTGCTTTTTGTGTTCTGCTTGTGTTTTTTTTCTCCTCCCACCACGGCATCCATCCTGGCAACAATTATTTACCAAAAAAAAAATCGAATACGAATACAAAAAAAAGCCAAACTCACAGGCGCGAGGACTTTGAATACAATTGGGTTTATGCGCGGCCCAAGTCCTTGTTGTTCAATCGCAATTCCCTGATATCCGTCTGAGACCAGAGTTGTATACCAAATTCCAAATTGTTATCTTTTCGTTTGCCATCAACTATTTTTAGTGCAATATTGAATTAAATTCAAAATTCAGAACAACACAAACAACCAAAAAAAAACACCTTTTTCAATTGTTAGAAAATATACAAAGAACACTGACCTTTCTTTTGCTTTGTTCATTCTGTTGGCTAATTGTAAGAATACCCAGTAATGTTATAGAGATTTTTACTAATGAGAATACAGTCTAAATGTTAATTGTTAAAAAACCCCCGTCATAACACACAAGCATATGTACACTTCGTTTCATTATTGTTGTCACTTACATACCAAAACTCCATGCTATCTACTCTCTTCGATACTAAATCAACCTCATCATGTATTATTCCACTCACCAAAAACACATCCATAAAAAAAAAATAAAACCAAAATCCAAATAAATCCAACCAAAAAAAAAAAACAAAAAAAAATATACCAAAACCGAAATCGAACCAAAACCAACCATCTAACCAAGCAGTCTTTATGGTTGGCGTTTTCCGCTACCTTATTGCAGTGGCCAGCTGGTAAAGGAGCCGCCACCGTCGCCGTTGCCACTGCCGCCGCCCGTCAAACTGGGCGGTTCGCCCATGACATCGCCATTGTACGTACCTCTCACTATCTCCGTTTCAGTTATCCTGTTTCCGTTTCCGTTTCCGCTATCTAAACTGCTTTATATAAATGCTTGTCTGGGCATATCTGCTCTGTAGTGTATCCTTTCATGATCTGTTATCCTTCCATCCTGTCACCTATCACTTTAGCTCATAAGTCATCCTCACTGCATGCCACTATTAGAATTTTGAGTTTTAAAAAACGTGAGACACTAACTAATTTTTAATGGAATATACTAATAAAAAGTTTGAAAAAACTTAGTTTTTAGTAAAGAATGAAATTGTTTTAGTGTCTCACCCTTTAAAAAACAAAAGTAGCTTAGCTAAAACTTATAGTAATAATAAAATATTAAAATTAAAATCGCAAAAGGTGAGTAGTCTGTGCTTTTAGAAGGCAAAGCAGTTTTCGAATACTGCTTGCATGCATAGCAGACAGCTTCTGCATGGCTGCGTTTGGTAGTTACAATTTAAAGCCTCCTTTTTCCTTAATTCTTTTATCCCAAAACTAATGAATTTCCTTAACAAATTTCTATAAATTCCCAGGGACGAGAAGGAGCCGCTGCGCACGCCCACTGGCAGCATCAAGCAGAACTCGACCATAGAGTTCGATGGCCGATTCGTGCATTCGCGCAGTGGCGAAATAATAGGCAAGAACTCAGCGGTGTAAACGGGTTTTTGTTAACAAAACCGAAGGCAAGGATTGCCCAACGGAAGCACAAAACAAAAGTTACGAGAGATATATATGAAAGGATATAGCGAGAAGAAGCCAAAGCCAAATAACTGGGGGAACGAGAACTGTTGAACTATCGATGGGTTATCGATAGATTCGATTGGCACACTGGAAAGAATTGGTTTTATTTACTTTCGTACACACACAGCGTTAATCTAACTAAATGTCTTACTATAAATACATACGATATCTAATGCATCTAACACATAGAACTCTAAGCCGCGAAAAAAATAACTCTTCAATCCAAGAGTCCAAGTCGCTTCATTTTCTAGTTTGAATATTTCTTTCTTTAAATCGCTGCATTTGCTTTGTTTCTCCTCAGTCACAAGAAAAAAAACAAAAAAAAACTTCAAAATCAAATAAAAACTAAGGATAATGAAAAGTAGAAATGAGAAAAAAAGAACACCTAGCCTAAGTTAAATATAAAAAAAAAAAACTTAAATTAATGCCTTACAAACAAAAATTACATTTATTTAGCAGTTAAAGCGAAGAGAACGGGATTTATGCATGTAAGCCGCAAGGAATGATAACGATTTCTTTAGTATAACTAACTTAAACATGCCATAAATAAGTTTAAACATTAAGTTTTGCATGGAAGACCCAAACAAAATCGTAGTACTTAAAACGCTGAAACAAAAGACTTGCGAGCATTTCTTTCTAGAACATGACATTAAACAAAAAAAAACAAAAAAAAGAAATTGAAATTTAAATACAAGAAATGGACTTGAATATTTAGTTGATAACAAAAATAAAATAAAGAAATCCTTGGTTTCCTATTGGTAATTCATATATACTTAACCACCAAAATGTGTAATCCACAAGAAAAATGCTCAATGTACATTAATGTTGAAATGAAATTTGAAAACTGCTTGGCACTGCTTGCTAAATGAAAGCGATATCCGTTTCCGGTTTATACCATACCGATTCACAATAAAAAGTTCAGAAAATGCCAAGTAAACCGGAAGTAAACTGAAAACTATGTTTTAGAGGAAAGATATTCAACTACGAGATTGCCAAACATAATGCGTTTCACTTATATCTTTCATCCGGAATTCCCACTTCCATTGACAAATCGCAAATCGCTCAGTTTTATGTTACAAAAGTATTTTCTTATGTATGTAAAAATTAAACAAATTCTAGTTAAGAGATCTAAACAAAAACGCATTAATCTAACGGATATATAAAGAAGTCTATATGTATGTACAATGTATTTAAAAATTTATCATAAGATTTTTTTTTCTACACAAAAAACAAAAACAAATAAAAAAAATTAAAGAAAAAAATCTACAAAAATTAAATAATTATATATGTATACACGCCGAACCGAATGTATGTATGTATATCCCCAGGAAAGCGCATTTTTATTTACATCCCGCCCCAAGATCCTGCGTAGTGATCCCTGTTTTTCTCTTCTGTTTGTTGCCAATGAGCTTTTGTAGCTTCTGTTGCCTTGTCAGAGCTTTTTTACCTATATATATATACACGATAATACTATACAAAGCTATATCGAATTAACTAAAAACCCACAAAACTCGAATTGAGCTCGAAATGATTAATTTAAATGGCTACCCGAGAACCCAAAGGACACACATTGTAATTATAATATATATATATATATATGTATATGTGTATGTGTATATGAATTTGAATTTGAGATTTGAATTGAAATTTGAATTTGAATTTAAATTTGGATGCAATTGTTTTTTTTTGGAAACTGCTCGCCAGCCAAACCGCCAGAGTCGCTTGCATATTCAAAATATGCATTCCAAAATACCGGATCGAACCACTCGAATGGTCTTTGTTCGGCGGCAGAGTGTAGCTTTTTATATGAGAACTAAACAAAATTGATGGTAATTTATACACTGAAACTGAAACGGGGGAAATAAATCGTATTTACTGTACTATAATTCAAAGTCTAGTCTTTTTAATCGGGATTCGTAGAGGTGCATGTCGATGGGATTCAATAACTGGAGGACATCATCGAAATAATCGCAGCGGAAAATCCTTTTTAGTTGATGATGTACCATCGGAAGGAGCAAAAGTGTGGAAATAGGGACAACCAACAATATTCTAGGGGAACTCCTTGGAAAAAATTCGAAAAATTTAAAAACGACATTAAAGCAATGTTTTGAATGAGGAAAGTCGCTTTTGGGTTTGCTGATTACTAAATGGTACTTTGTTTTTTGATCGGATACAAATTGGCAGAGCTATGGCCATCGGAAGGAGCAAAAGTGTGGAAATCGGGACAACCCACAATGTTGTAGGGGAACTCCTTGGAAAAAATTCGAAAAATTTAAAAACGACATTAAAGCAATGTTTTGAATGAGGAAAGTCGCTTTTGGGTTTGCTGATTACTAAATGGTACTTTGTTTCCTGATCGGATACAAATTGGCAGAGCTATGGCCATCGGAAGGAGCAAAAGTGTGGAAATCGGGACAACCCACAATGTTGTAGGGGAACTCCTTGGAAAAAATTCGAAAAATTGAAAAACGACATTAAAGCAATGTTTTGAATGGGGAAAGTCGCTTTTGGGTTTGCTGATTACTAAATGGTACTTTGTTTTTTGATCGGATACAAATTGGCAGAGCTATGGCCATCGGAAGGAGCAAAAGTGTGGAAATCGGGAAAACCCACAATGTTGTAGGGGAACTCCTTGGAAAAAATTCGAAAAATTGAAAAACGACATTAAAGCAATGTTTTGAATGAGGAAAGTCGCTTTTGGGTTTGCTGATTACTAAATGGTACTTTGTTTCCTGATCGGATACAAATTGGCAGAGCTATGGCCATCGGAAGGAGCAAAAGTGTGGAAATCGGGAAAACCCACAATACTCTAGGGGAACTCCTTGGAAAAAATTCGAAAAATTTAAAAACGACATTAAAGCAATGTTTTGAAAGAGGAAAGTCGCTTTTGGGTTTGCTGATTACTAAATGGTACTTTGTTTTCTGATCGGATACAAATTGGCAGAGCTATGGCCATCGGAAGGAGCAAAAGTGTGGAAATCGGGAAAACCCACAATATTCTAGGGGAACTCCTTGGAAAAAATTCGAAAAATTTAAAAACGACATTAAAGCAATGTTTTGAATGAGGAAAGTCGCTTTTGGGTTTGCTGATTACTAAATGGTACTTTGTTTCCTTATCGGATACAAATTGTCAGAGCTATGGCCATCGGAAGAAGCAAAAGTGTGGAAATCGGGAAAACCCACAATATTCTAGGGGAACTCCTTGGAAAAAATTCGAAAAATTTAAAAACGACATTAAAGCAATGTTTTGAATGAGGAAAGTCGCTTTTGGGTTTGCTGATTACTAAATGGTACTTTGTTTCCTGATCGGATACAAATTGGCAGAGCTATGGCCATCGGAAGGAGCAAAAGTGTGGAAATCGAGAAAACCCACAATATTCTAGGAGAACTCCTTGGAAAAAATCGAAAAATTTAAAAACGACATTAAAGCAATGTTTTGAATGAGGAAAGTCGCTTTTGGGTTTGCTGATTACTAAATGGTACTTTGTTTCCTGATCGGATACAAATTGGCAGAGCTATGGCCATCGGAAGGAGCAAAAGTGTGGAAATCGGGAAAACCCACAATATTCTAGGGGAACTCCTTGGAAAAAATTCGAAAAATTTAAAAACGACATTAAAGCAATGTTTTGAATAAGGAAAGTCGCTTTTGGGTTTGCTGATTACTAAATGGTACTTTGTTTCCTGATCGGATACAAATTGGCAGAGCTATGGCCATCGGAAGGAGCAAAAGTGTGGAAATCGGGAAAACCCACAATATTCTAGGGGAACTCCTTGGAAAAAATTCGAAAAATTTAAAAACGACATTAAAGCAATGTTTTGAATGAGGAAAGTCGCTTTTGGGTTTGCTGATTACTAAATGGTACTTTGTTTCCTGATCGGATACAAATTGGCAGAGCTATGGCCATCGGAAGGAGCAAAAGTGTGGAAATCGGGAAAACCCACAATATTCTAGGGGAACTCCTTGGAAAAAATTCGAAAAACGACATTAAAGCAATGTTTTGAATGAGGAAAGTCGCTTTTGGGTTTGCTGATTACTAAATGGTACTTTGTTTCCTGATCGGATACAAATTGGCAGAGCTATGGCCATCGGAAGGAGCAAAAGTGTGGAAATCGGGAAAACCCACAATATTCTAGGGGAACTCCTTGGAAAAAATTCGAAAAATTTAAAAACGACATTAAGCAATGTTTTGAATGAGGAAAGTCGCTTTTGGGTTTGCTGATTACTAAATGGTACTTTGTTTCCTGATCGGATACAAATTGGCAGAGCTATGGCCATCGGAAGGAGGAAAAGTGTGGAAATCGGGAAAACCCACAATATTCTAGGGGAACTCCTTGGAAAAAATTCGAAAAATTGAAAAACGACATTAAAGCAATGTTTTGAATGAGGAAAGTCGCTTTTGGGTTTGCTGATTGTTAAATGGTACTTTGTTTTCTGATCGGATACAAATTGGCAGAGCTATGGCCATCGGAAGGAGCAAAAGTGTGGAAATCGGGAAAACCCACAATGTTGTAGGGGAACTCCTTGGAAAAAATTCGAAAAATTTAAAAACGACATTAAAGCAATGTTTTGAATGAGGAAAGTCGCTTTTGGGTTTGCTGATTACTAAATGGTACTTTGTTTCCTGATCGGATACAAATTGGCAGAGCTATGGCCATCGGAAGGAGCAAAAGTGTGGAAATCGGGAAAACCCACAATATTCTAGGGGAACTCCTTGGAAAAAATTCGAAAAATTTAAAAACGACATTAAGCAATGTTTTGAATGAGGAAAGTCGCTTTTGGGTTTGCTGATTACTAAATGGTACTTTGTTTCCTGATCGGATACAAATTGGCAGAGCTATGGCCATCGGAAGGAGGAAAAGTGTGGAAATCGGGAAAACCCACAATGTTGTAGGGGAACTCCTTGGAAAAAATTCGAAAAATTGAAAAACGACATTAAAGCAATGTTTTGAATGAGGAAAGTCGCTTTTGGGTTTGCTGATTACTAAATGGTACTTTGTTTCCTGATCGGATACAAATTGGCAGAGCTATGGCCATCGGAAGGAGGAAAAGTGTGGAAATCGGGAAAACCCACAATATTCTAGGGGAACTCCTTGGAAAAAATTCGAAAAATTGAAAAACGATAATTAAGCAATGTTTTGAATGAGGAAAGTCGCTTTTGGGTTTGCTGATTACTACATGGTACTTTGTTTCCTGATCGGATACAAATTGGCAGAGCTATGGCCATCGGAAGGAGCAAAAGTGTGGAAATCGGGAAAACCCACAATATTCTAGGGGAACTCCTTGGAAAAAATTCGAAAAATTTAAAAACGACATTTAATCAATGTTTTGAATGAGGAAAGTCGCTTTTGGGTTTGCTGATTACTAAATGGTACTTTGTTT